TTTCCAGTAGAAAACAGAAGCCAGGAAAAGAAACAGGAACGCATACCCTACACTCAGGTCAAAGGGCAGAGAGCAGAAACTTCCAGTAAGAAAAGCCAGACATCAGGTTTAGAGCTGAGAGTCAGAGCAGTCAGTACAAATACATTACATGCAAAGTAGCCATGACCACAGAAAGAAAGCTCTAACAACATCATATTTTTCAAAGCAGCATTAACAAGAATGCAGAATTAAAAATAAGGAACCAAATAAAACCCTAAAACTGCAAAATATAATACCAGAAACTGATTTTCGGTAGTAGACTCAAGACTACATTAAACCCTGGAGAATCTGAAAACTTGAAAATAGATGGATAAAAATTTTGCTCCTTGGAAAAACGGAGAAAAAACAAACAAAACAGAGAACAAAGAACAGCATTAAGCATACCATGTATGCATGGTGTATATGCTGCAATTGGTGGAAATAAATAAGCAGGGAAAAAATGACTGAAGGATAATGGTGGGAAACTCCCCAGACACATTCAAACAGTAAGCAACATTTAGGAAGCCAAACAAACTCCAAAACAAGTAATTCACAACACAGAAAAAAGTGCCCAAAACATGAATAAATAAACTCCATAGTTACAGGAAGGAAATGACTTATCACTTATAGGGTGTATTAATCAGAGTTCAAGGGTAAAGCGGAACAGAGAGAATGAATATATACTAAAAGAGAATTTATTGGATTGACTTATACGTCTGGGTATTCTATCCATGGCTGTTACTAAAATCCCTTTCCAACAACAAACTGAGGTATGATTTCACCAAAGTTCACCTGAGAAAACCGAAGATCTTACTAAACATACTTACAGAGAAAGGGGTGAGGGGTGACGGTCAGGAGTTGGTCTTAAAGTGGCCACACTAGGTCTGCACTCAGCAGGAACAACAGCTTCCCTAGGGCTGCAGGGAGGCCCTTCCCCTGGTTCTTCCACACTTACAGCCTTTAACCCTTCCCCAAGAGCCCATGTAATTAGGACAAAATTGCACACAGGTCATTGGCAAGGGAAACCGAACGGGTTCGACCTCTCCTATGAGGGAAGGGGAAGCCTTTAATACTTGCGTTCGGGAGGCAGAGGCAGGCAGATCTCTGTGAGTTCAAGGCCAGCCTGCTCTACAACAGCTAGTTTCAGGACAGCTAGGGCTGCTCCACAGAGAAACCCTGTCTCAAAAAACAAAAAACAAACAAAAATTATCCTTCAAAGGGAATCAAGAAATCCCCAAGTAAACAAAAACTGAGGAAGTTTGTGGATTGCCCGTAGGGACAAAGGAGAATCCTAGGGCTAACCAGAAACCTGAAGCCCAAGGATGGGAACAGTACTGATAAAACTGTGGCACAGGCAAATATACAAGACGGCATTGTCTTATTTTTATCTGTATATTTTGCAATATGACTTAGGAGATGATATGTAAGACAACAAAATCTTTGTCAATAGGCACAGTTTATAATGTATCTCTATGGACACAAAACAAAGATGTAATTTTTGTAACATCAAGTAAGGCTGTTCAGAGCTGCGAGGAACTGAAGCTGAAATGATATGAATTCGACCCAGATTACTGATAAACGGAAGATGACTTATTATAATCCCTACAGTAACTAACTACAAACACATAGATAGGTTATAAGAAGGAAATCAAACAGAACACTAATCAAGCAAGCACCTGCAAAAAAGCAGAATTAAAGGATTGAGGAATGAACACAAGAGATTTAGGACTTTTATAAAGCAGCAGTAAAACAGCAAAAGTCCTTATAGGTGAAGTACATTTATATTTAAACGGATAAAACTCTTCAATTAAAAGGTAAACAGTGCAGAACAATTTTTTTCGTTTGTTTGTTTTGGTTTTTTCGAGACAGGGTTTCTCTGTAGCTCTGGAGCCTGTCCTGGAACTAGCTCTATAGACCAGGCTAGTCTCGAATTTACAAAGATCCGCCTGCCTCTGCCTCCTGAGTGCTGGGATTAAAGGCATGTGCCACCATCGCCCGACCATGCAGAACAATTCTTGAAAATGAGTCATCTAGCCAGCTTTTTATCTACAATCTCAGCTTTGGGGAAACTGAGGCAAGAGAATCACAAGCCTGAATTAAACAGTAAGATCCTGTCTCAAAACAAAACAATAAATTTAAAAATGACTCCTCTAAAGCTGGGCAGTCCCAACACGTGGGAGGCAGAGGCAGGAGGATTTCAGTGAGTTTGAGGCCAGCCTGGTCTACAAAGCAACTTCCAGGACAGCCAGGACTGTTATATAGAAAAACCAAAAAAGGACACCTCCTCTAAACCTTGTAAAAGATCCAAATGCACACATAAGCTGAAAGACAGCATGTAAAAAGATATTCCATGCACTAATCACAAAGTTGGGTAACTGTGCAAATACCAGACAAAACTGATTTTATTCCTAAATTATTTTATATTAAGCAAGAAAACAAATAAAGCCCAACATTATATACTGATAAAAGAGTCCATCAATCAAAAAGACAACACTTATGACCAGAAAGAAACAGAGTAAAAGAAGCAACTAAAAAAATAAAAAAAAAAATTAAAAAAAATGCTGTTTTTAGGGGAGCTGGAGAGATGGCTCAGCATCTCTGACTGCTCTTCCAGAGGACCCAGGTTCAATTCCCAGCATCCACACAGCAGCTCACAACTGCCTGTAACTCCAATATCTGACGCCCTCACACAGGTAAAACATCAATGTACATAAAAAATTTAAAAACATGTTTTTATGAAGAAATGAACAAAGTAACCAACATAGCTAGATGGGGGGAAAAGGAAGACTGGAGTCACTGGGATGAGGAATGTTACATCACTGTCAGCCTTGATGAGGGTTCAGAGGGCTAGGAGCGGACACTCTGGACACTAAAGCCAGTAACCTGAGAGAAGTCAAAGAAACTCCTGGACGTACAAACTAAAAAGTGACCCAGGAACAAGAGACCTGACTCAAGAACAAGGCAAAGAATAAAGCCCAGGATCTAATTCATGGCTTCGTCAACGAAGTCTAGCAAACAGGAGAATTAACACCAGTCCCATTCTTTCCCATTTCCTAAGCGATCCTACAGGTCAGAATTCCCATCAAAGCCACCAAAAAATACTGTAAGAACTAGAGACCATACAACAACATCCCTTATGAACACACACAGAGAAACCCTTAATAAAAGCCCAGTGTAGCAGCTCAGACCTTTAATTCTAGAAATGAGGAGGAAGAGGCATGTGGATCTGCAAGTTCTAGGTCAGCTTGACTACACAGCAAGTTACAGGCCAGCCACAGCTCGTACTGAAAGCTTGTCTAAAAAAGGTGGTGGTGGTGCACACCTTTAATTCCAACACTCCGGGAGGCACAGGCAGGAGGATCTCTGTGAGTTCGAGGCCAGCCTGGTCTACAAGAGCTAGTTCCAGGACAGGCTCCAAAGCTACACAGATAAACCCTATCTCGGAAAAAAAAAAATTAAAAAAATCTTCAACAAGAGATGGGAAACAGGGCTGGAGAGATGGCTCAGAGGTTAAGAGCATTGCCTGCTCTTCCCAAGGGCCTGAGTTCAATTCCCAGCAACCACATGGTGGCTCACAACCATCTGTAATGGAGTCTGGTGCCCTCTTCTGACCTGCAGGCATACACACAGACAGAATATTGTATACATAATAAATAAATAAATAAATATTTTTTAAAAAAGAGAGATGGGAAACGGCTCCGTTAGTAAAGTGTTTGTCACACACACATGAGGGACTGCTTGTATCTCTAGCACCCACATAAAAACCCAAACATGGTGTTAGCCTATAATCTTAACACTGGGGAAGCAGAGACAGGAAGAGTGTTCATCAACTACCCTTGACCAACCAGTAAACACCAGGTTTAGTGAGAGATCATATATCAAAACATAAGCTTGAGAATGACACCAGATATCTAGCCTCCATGTATGTACCTGCACACACACACACACACACACACACACACACACCCTTCACAAGGCACCAGGAAACTGAATCCAGCTGTCTACTAGGAAGATTACACATAATGAGTGAGTAGGGCTTACCCAAATAATGCAAAAATGGTTCAACAATAGTTATCAGTGTAATTATATAAGCCAACATGGTGAAGGAGAAAAATCAGTTTCTCAAATTGATGCCAAAAAAAAAAAATCACTTGACAAAAATCCAGCCCACCTACCCCTTTGGTGATTAAAAATAGTACTGTTGATAAACATACAATACAAGAAGACTTCCTTGGTTTGACAAAGGCTACTAGTAAACCCCATAGTTAAATAAAGGACACTAGTAATACCCATAGCTAGTACCATACTCAACAGAGGAAGACTGTGAGCTTTCCCTCTAAGGTCAGGGTAAAGGTAAGGATGTCTACTTTTACTACTTCAGCATGTTACAAGAGATTTTAGCCAGGGCAATTAGAGGACTAAACCAGGAGCTAGGCATGGCGGCACATACCTATAAGCTCAATACCCAGGATCCTTAGCAGAAAAATCATGAGTTTAAGGCCACCCTAGGCAACACAGTGAGTTCTATAATGAGATCTTGTGCCCTGAACACTATAAACATAATAAATAAATTAAAGAAAAAGACTCAAGTAAACAGTGAGCAAAGAGCTGAACAGATACCTCTCCAGATACACATCACCAGAGAATACATGGAACACTCAGCGTCACTAACCACTTGGAAATGCAAACAAAACCGTGAGTTACTTCGCACTCACCAGAATGGCTACAATAGTAATGACAAAAGAAAACAGCAAGTGATAGTGTGTGTGAGTAAACTGGAAAGTGTAAAATAGTATAAGCAGTGAGAGTAACAGTCTGGCAGTTCTTCAAGATGATAAATATAGAATTATAAGGCATATGCTCAATGGATTTAAAAAAAAAACAACGCTCATATACTCAAAGAGTTGAAAAATCAGTGTTCCAATGAAACCATTTAAGTTCATAGGTTGATAAAAAACTATAATTATAATGTATCATGTTACCTCCTCTGGGAGAAGGAGAGTCATGGCCTCCAACCACTACAGAGATGCCAGAATCTTCCAGTTTCACCTTCCACTTCTCAATGATGGTCCCAGAACTGTCCTGTAAGTGTGACACTGCCGGTTAGGAACCGCCCTTAAGTGTGGTTTGTAAAGCATTAAGTCACCCAACAGCTGGCTCATAAATACCTTGCTGGCATCATTAAAAACAGAGAGCTCCATGGTGCCTTCAAAGTCTTGCTGTAACACAGATGCCAAGCATTCATCCAGCCACAGTTCAGCATTGCGCACTGGGAGGATAATAGTCTAGAATTCAGAGAAACGGGTTAGCCAACAGCCACGGGGAACCACACGCCCTTCAGCATCCACGAGATGGCCTAGAACCAGGCCTCATGACAGGCATACCCAACAATCCGAAGATATCTACTTCTCCTTTCTAAGCTCTTGCCATTCATTTGGCCCCTCAAGTTCCTGATGCTTTCAAAACGTTATTTCATTTATTCATCTGTTGCTGTAGGTGTACACATGACACTGGGGAACAAGTCCAGGTTGTCAGGCTTGGTGCAAACTCCCTTTACCACTGATCTCTCTATCACTATTCCCTTCTAGATGCTTCTGAAAGGGGGGGGGACCTGAAAAGCATCAAAATGCCCCTCCAGCTCAATGGTAAATTCATTATTTTAATCACTAGGCAAAAGCATCACAATTCTGATTAACATCTCTCCCCTGCTCATGAGAACCAGCCCTTGACTAGATGGCACACTCGCCCTTTGAGAAACTCCAACAACGTGACCCCTTCATACTCTTTTTTTTTTAATATTTATTTATTTATTATGTATACAATATTCTGTCTGTGTGTATGCGCGCAGGCCAGAAGAGGGCACCAGACCCCATTACAGATGGTTGAGAGCCACCATGTGGTTGCTGGGAATTGAACTCAGGACCTTTGGAAGAGCAGGCAATGCTCTTAACCTCTGAGCCATCTCTCCAGCCCACCCCTTCATACTCTTGCACAGATAATCACACAGCTGGACCAAGGGGGCCTGTAGAGACCCTTAATCTTTGTTCTATCCTTGAATTCAGGCACCAGCACTTTCTCTCAGGAAGTGAGAGAAATAAAATCAAAATAAATAAAATTAAAAGTTTCTAAAGTGGCATAAAATAAAATCACTAAAACTTGATGACCAGAAGAACAATTATCACAGGAACTGCCTCAATTTTATATGATGGAGTGAGCAATAAAGAACAGCCACAGATGGGGCTGGAGAGATGGCTCAGAGGTTAAGAGCACTGGCTGCTCTTCCAGAGGTCCTGAGTTCAATTCCCAGCAACCACATGGTGGCTCACAGCCATCTGTAATGAGATCTGGTGCCTTCTCCTGGCATGTGGGCAGATAGAACACTGTATACATAATAAATAAATAAATCTTAAAAAAAAAGAACAGCCACAGAAATTAACAGTTGTTGCCACCCTTGAGTTATCGTGCAAATACAAAAGTTTCTCAGAAGGAAAACCAATAGGTTATGTAGGTGTGAACATACACACACATAACATGCACATGTTACATAGCTATATGTAACCCAGACAGTAGCTACAAAATCTCCACAAAGTCTACATACAATATAGACAATATCTATATAAATCACTATAGATAACATCTACATATAATATTTAAATTACTGAAACTGAACATAGTTATAAAAATTTATGAGTATTGAAGACAAAATTTACCAAGTTCTTTACAAACTAAATGTTCTTTGAGGAGGTGAGGATCCAAAAGTGGCATTTCATCCTGTGTTTGTTCTGAAAATGAATGCCTAAAGACTTTTATTTATTATTATTATTTTTTTGAGCTTCTTGGGATTGAACCCGGGGCCTTGCATGTGTATAGCAGAATTATACCCCAGTCCTCTGGACTGACTTTATAAAGGAAATGAACATTTTTCATTTTCTCAAGACCTACAAGTGAAGAAGGGTGTGGGTGACTCATATCTGTTATCAGTTAAGTGGGTGTGGAGGCTGGAGTGTTAGTTCACGGTCATCCTCAGCTATGGGTGTTGCAGGCCAGCCAGAGCCACGGGAGACCTAACAATAAAAAAAAAAGGGATATGTGAATTTTTAACAAGGTTAGGCTAGGCCTTGATTTTACCTGTTCCCAATGTCAGTAAGCTCGGCAGGAAAAATACAAATGACGCTGAGTCTCTGAACCGTATCTACAAGGTGTCCTGGCTCCTGACGCCTAACCCACCAGCTAGGTTAAGTGGGACAGGTGTTGCATACCATCGAGGCGAGCAGGGCTAAGGGAGTGGGGGTGGGCGATAGTGTGCTGGACAAGGAGGTGTGTAGGTTAGTGTACGGTAGGAACTCTAGCAGGAGCGCGATCTGTACACACGTTCGCCTTGACACAGGAAAGGGTGGGTGCCCTCCAAGCTGAGGATCCTGAACCCATGGCAGCGTTCCGGAAAGACCCTGGCGGCTGCGAGCCCAGAAAAAGATGGTTACCAGGTCCTGAGGAGAAAAAGCTACAGAAGGGACGAGAGGCGGGGCTGTGTCTCACCCCGCCGTACCTACCACTGAGGCCAGCGGGCCATGCCCAGTGGCGTCCTTGGGGAGCTGCATGGCAGGGCTCCACCGCCCTCCTTTAGCACGCGCGTCCAGCACAAGCAGCCACGGTTTGCAAAGCAAGCTCCGGGAGGCGGTGCAGAGACTGGACCACTTCCGATTGGAGCCGTGCCACGTGGATCGCTAGGCGCTAGCCGCTAGCGGGTTTCGGGCCGTGCGGGGCAGAAGATAGTCACGTTCTATTGGTGCAGAGACACGTCAGTCAGGAAGGGAAGGCGGGGCTTCTGGCAGAGAGCCTAGCTAGGCGGCCTGCCGGTGTATCCAAGGGCTGGTGAGCTCGCGGGTCAAGCAGCCAGCTCTGCCTGAGCCGCTGAGGGGGTTGGGGCCGGGAGGTGGCCGTAGCCTACACTGTGTGGGCAGGGCCTGGCTGAGCAAAGGGTTGGGCTCCCGGAGGCTGTGGGCGCTCCTGGCTTTCAGCCCTTCTCGTAGTACTCGCCGGTCTTTGCGGCTTCTTGCCCCGCGGAAGTCGTCTTGTCCCACCTGATGGAAATAATTGCAAACCGAAGTCCACAGTCATAAGAATGTGACGAAAAATATTTTAGAAACGGGGGAAACTTGTGAGGGGTGCCACCCTGTGCGCGTGGGTGATGACTTAAAGATCCAAAACCGACCACCCGAGGTTGGGCCTGAAGAACTTTAAAAAGGGAAATGGCAATAAGTTTAAAATAAATAGGCGACATTTCATCTGAACTGTGTTTGGTCTGACTGTGCCGGAGGAGGAAAACGGATCCCGCCCAGTGGGAGGATCGCCTGGCTAGGCTGGTCTGGATCTGGAGTAACCAGCAGCAGATAATTTGTGTAGCCTGCATTCGGAGGCGCGAAACGCAATCAAAGCCAGATGACTCAGTTTCTATGCTGCACAGAGATTCACCGGCCCAAGGGTTGCTGGAGGTTGACGAGGGAAGGGAGAGTTCTGTGAATTCTGAGAGTCCCAAAGCGCAGGAGTCTCACACACAGTGCCAGAAGGTCTCAGGAAATCAGTCTCAAAGGACAGGTGACACTCTCTGGATCACATGAAAGATAGTAACTGGAGGGAGGATAGGAACCCAGATAGAGAGGAGGGTCTTCAGAGAAAATGCGTGATTACTAATGTAAATAACCCGTGTGCGTTTCTTTTCCAAACAGAGGCTTTTCTGACATTCACTTGTGCCTGCAGTTTCTCTGACTAATCATCCCACAACTAGAAGTGTATTTTAAGATGGCATATTTTGGTTGTCCACACCCTCCATTTCTGAGGGGGTGACACCGAGGTCACCCACTGGCCTTGGCACCAAGCAGCCCTCAAGATGTTTCCACATTTAAAAATAGCAGGAGAAGGGATGGGAAAGATGGCTCAGTGGATAGAGCTGCTTGCTGCCAAGCCGTAAAACCCAACTTTGAGCCCCCGGACCCACAGGGTGTCAAGGAGAGAACCTACCCCCACAGGTTATTTTCTAACCCCCAAACATGTAGGCAGTTCATAGTCACCCACTGATGGAGGAGTTACTTTCATTGGTTAATAAAGAAACTGCCTTGGCCCATTTGATAGGGTTAGGGTTAAGGTTAGGGTTAGGTAGGCGGAGTAAACAGAACAGAATGCTGGGAGAAAGAAGCCAAGTTCAGTGAGTTGCCATGATTCTCCCACCCGACACAGACACAGGTTAAGATCTTCCTTGGTAAGCTATCTCGTAGGCTACACAGATTATTAGAAATGGGTTAGATCAATATGTAAGAGCTAGCCAATAAGAGGCTAAAACTAATGGGCCAAGCAGTGTTTAAAAGAATACAGTTTCCATGTAATTATTTTGGGTAAAGCTAGCTGGGAGCCATGCAGCAATAAGTAGCCCGCCGCTCCTATTACTACAACCCACACCCCCAAAACACATGCAAAACAACTAAATAAAATATAATTTAAAAATAACGATCTCAGAAAAGCTTCAGAGAATTGCAGTGCTTTTTTTAAACTTTAGTTTTAGATTATTTTATGTATTTGAGTGTTTTGCCTGCATGTATGTGTGTGTACCACATGCCTTCCTAGTGTCCATGAAGGTCAGATAAGGGTGTCAGGTCCCCTGAGCTGGAATTACAGAATTGTGAGCCACCAAGTTGGTGTTAGGAATCAAAACCATGTCTCTGCAAGACCAACAAGTGCTCATAATTGCTGAGCCAACTCCCTGGCTAAGGACTGTAGTGCTGATACATTGAAACACTTTCCTCAGTAGGAAACAGTGGCCTGCTTTTCTTTCAAGGAAAGAATCTCCCTGGTAGTACAGCAAAGGAACCTAGTACCCTTAGCAGTCTTGTTTGTTTGTTTTGTTTTTCAAGGCAGGATTTCTCTGTAGCTTTGGAGCCTGTCCTGGAACTCACTCTGTAGACCAGGCTTCCTTTGAACTCACAGAGACCCACCAGCCTCTGCCTCCTGAGTTCTGGGATTAAAGGTGTGCGCCACCATCACCCAGCCCCCCTTAGCAGTCTAACAAGCTTGATTTTAGGAGATGAAGTGGAACCCAACCTGTTTCTACAGCCTGTCCTAGACATCGCCAAACCTTTTCCTGCCTGTATAAACAAACGGGGCTATGATAGACCCTAACCCTAACCCTCTGCAAGTACTGTGAGCTCCCCAACTTACCCACATAGAGAAGGTAAGCAGGTGACAAGGACCCCGGAGCTCTGTATATTGAGTGTGCTTTGGCTAGCATTGTGCTACCCCTCTAAACTAGACGAACCCACTAAGGCATATGAGAATGTCTATGAACACCTCTTTTTATCTCCTATCCTTGTCTCTTATTTCCTGCCCTTTGTCCCTCTGGGGCAAATAAATCTCCTTTGTGCTGAGACCTGGGTCTTGGGGTGTAATACTGGTCCCTTCACTCACTGCCTGTAATCTCTTTGCAATAAGAAAGTTTCTCTTTGCTGTATCCTCCAACACTAGATGTTCTCTTTTTAAAAATTATGGCTATCTTTTTATGTGCATGGGTGTTCTGCACACATATACGTATGTGTAACACGTATGTGTGATACTTGAGGAGACCAGGAGAGGGGCTGGATCTCCTAGGACTGGAGTTACAGATGGTTGTGCACTGACATGTGGGTGCTGGGAATCAGACTCAGGTCCTCACAGGATCAACCAGTGCTCTTCATTCCTGAGCCATTTTGACAGCCCTGGCGTTGTGTAACAGTTTCCTCTGATAATGAAATATTCCATTATGCAGGGAAGCTCCTTAAACAAGCTACAGGAAGTCCCTGAAACTAACCAGATTCACTAGGCTCCCTTCCTGCCAGAGTAAATAAAAGCTGACAAAACCCCTCTCAGACTGAAAGAAGCTGAGCTGCAAAGAAGACTCAGAGGAGAAAAGCTGCAAAGAAGGCTCAGATCAAAATAGCTGCCTCAAAGAGGCAGAAACCAGCCTGTCTGGAAGAGGTGTAGACCAACTGAGGCACCTAGAGAGGACACTCTCCAACCTGTCCAGCTACCTGTAAGCTGGGCAGTGTGCTCTATGTTCCCAGCTGGGCTGGTCCTTAGTGATGCAGCTGTCTTTGAGTCATTTCTATTCCTGAAAGCAACCCCAAGTTCACCACACTGGACTTGGGTGGTATCTGTACTTTGATCTGTCATGAGTTCCCTGTCTGGGGTGAGTAAACATGCGTGTTCCATCTCCTTAGGAAAAGCTTTGTCACACACCTAGAAGTTCCTTTTGCAAACATTCAGAGAGCTAAAATGCTATATAAATTCATGGTGGTAGCAGGGGCCGTTCTGAAATCCAAGAGTAGTGGAGCCTAAGCTTGAGCCCTCTGAGGTTGTGAGAGTCTCACCGAGATACTACCAAAGGGCCGGGCTATGGATACTGGCACCGGCACTGGCAGACGATGGGAAATGGGCAAGGCATTATGTTTACTGTATTGAGAGCATGTTGTCTTTTTGTTTTGTTTTGTTTTGGTTTTGGTTTTTCGTCTGCTACCACTGCCTGGTGAGAGCATGTTGTCTTGAATCAGAGCAAAGAGGTGGAGGAATGAAGGAGGCAGATGAGTAAGTATGGGCATCTGGAAGAAAGTGCAAGGTGAGATTATCATCTCCCTGGCGATTTGGAACACAGACCCTCAGTCTCTCCCCTGCCCATCCTTCAGCTCAGCCACCCTGGCTTGTCATCCTGCATAGTCTGTAACCATTAGAAATGGCAAGTAGCCATGTCTACTCCCTCACTGCCTTCTGGAAGAGGATCCAGTGCCCCACATCTTGTCTCAAACACCTACCAAGCAAGGTGTGGTACCTATTTTCTTACCCAGCCCTTGAACCGGTGCCCCCTAGAAGCCTTGTGTCTGTCGTAGATGAAACAAGGTGGGAAAGAAAAGGGCGATGTTTGTGTCTGTAGCGCTAATGAAAGGCTTATGGCTTTCTTCTTACCTATGAAAAGATTGACTGTCCTAGAGGCATGGAGCTAAGAAGGATCCTCCGTTCACCTTGGAGTGGCCTCCTGTTAGCACGGACTCCTGAGTGTGTGTGTATTTAGGGTTCTACATGACTTCTGGTCTACGTTACTCTGTTCACTTCTGTTTTTTAGCACAAACTGTAGGGTGCTGGTGGGCAGCCTAGTGCTGGCTGGTGTGTGGGGTACCATCTGGCTTTCAAACTGAGATTCAGAAAAAAAAAAAGACACACTGCAGCAGGGTTGGGAGCTGGGTGGCATGGTTTCATATCCACCGTCTGCCAGTGACCCCAGCAGGGTGGGTGGAGCCCAGAGAGGCTCTGGCCCCAGAGAAGGGGAAGGAGTGAAAATGTCAACAGGAAGCCCCTTTGTGGGTACTTTTGAATGTTGTCTGTCCACTTCTTTGAAGTCCAGCAAGGGTGGACAGAATGACTTCCATCATCTCCAGATCACTTTCCTGGCCATCTTGCAGCCCAACTCACTTCCAGTTTCATGATCCTCATGAGCCCCACAGCCTCACAATCTCCTCTTCTTTAGTGGAGCTCAGCTGAGAGGCTGAGGACCAAATGTCATCTTTAGGGACACTTACCGACTAGGCTGGGTGGCAGGTATTCCATCCCTGTCTACCCTGCCACTACCCCAACCCTTTCTCAATAAGTTTCACAGTTGGCTAGGCAGTACATGCTCTGTTCCCTAGATGGCAGCTTCCAAGGTCAAGCGGCAAATCACATCCTAATCAACGAGGCCCAGTAAGTTCTACACATA